AAAAAAAAAAAAAAAAGAAGAAGAAGAAAAAAGTTTATTAGATGTAAACAGATGAGTATATTCTCTGTGTAATCTACCTGTTTGCTTTTGTCATGAATTTCTTGTCTCCTCTGAAGTGAAAAGTAATCTGTTAAGCTCCCAATCCTAAAAAGGTAATACATCTTTCAAGCAAAATACTTTTGTTTTTTAGTTTTATTTAAGATATTATGCTTCTTGTCAATTTACTGTACTCCTTTTTAACTTATAACTGTACAAACAACTATACTATTTTTAAAAATTATATTATAAACATAAAGAAAATGACTTGGCACAATGCAACTATAAACATATTTTTACCTGCAAGAAGTCAATCTGCATACACATGCTAGGTAACTTTGGTGACAAAAAACAAGTGTCTGTCACGAAGTTTTCATACTCAATGCTATCTGGAAACTGACTGCATCCCAGCTGTGAGCTGTGTCCTCGGACCATTAAACCACTAGCAGCTGATCCTTTTACTTGATGTCCTTGAAACTCAACAGGCTACAGGTAAATTATTAAAAATAAGAACTGCATAACTATATATTGACATATATATTCACACAAAGTCAACACATAGAATATAATATATAATTCAGCTTTTTATTACCAGGAACTAATGTAAATAATTACCAGGAGTTGAAAACCAGAAAATTCTCCCGTTATCCTAAAACATATGTTACGGGTAACTAATTCAAAGTGCATCAATTCAATTTAACTGCATTTAAGTTCAACATTAGAAAGTATGATTTAGGCTGGGCGTGGTGGCTCACATCTATAATTCTTGTGCTTTAGGAGGCTAAGGCAGGCGGATCACCTGAGGTCAGGAGTTAGAGCCTGGCCAACGTGGTAAAATCCCACCTCTACTAAAAATACAAAAAATTAGCCGGGCGTGGTGGTAGGCACCTGTAATCCCAGCTACTTGGGAGCCTGAGGCAGGCAAATTGCTTGAACCCAGGAGGTGGAGGTTGCAGTGAGCCAAGATTATGCCACTGCCCTCATGAATTTCTTGTCTCTACTAAAAAATACAAAATTAGCCGGGCGTGGTGGCACATGCCTGTAATCTCAGCTACCCTTGAGGCTGAGGCAGGAGAATCGCTTGAACCTGGGAGGCGGAGGTTGCGGTGAGCCAAGATTGTGCCATTGCACTCCAGCCTGGGCAACAAGAGCAAAGCTCTGTTTTGCTCCCAAAAAAAAAAAAAAAAAAGTATAATTTATAGCCAATGATGGGAGAAAAAAATGAATAAGTATAATTTTATTATGAGCATAAAGATGAGCATAATAATAATGGCTAATTAAACCAGAAATATTTAGTTGCTTCTTTCTCTCTGTTTCCACTATATATTACACAACTGTGCATTACATGTAATATTATATATTACAAACTTACAACTTCACACTACAATGAAGTTTTTCCTTATTTCTATACTAATTGCACTGTAAACCCCTTGATGGCAGAGATCTTATGCTTCATCTAGGTATCAACTGTATTTAACACAGTACTCGGTGTACAGGAAGCAATCAATAAACAGCCAGTAACAGGAAAGGAAAAATGAGAAAGAATGCAAACAGCATTTCTCTTTACTTAGGGGTTTTTGTAAAATATCAGGCTTAACTGCAGGATGGGTGGTGGACTCTCTGCCTCTCAGTGGAAAGATGTGATATCCTACTGCTCTGGGAGCAAAGAGTGTGATTCCAATACAGATACGTTCCTTAGAGAGGTTCTTTCATTCAGTCCGCTTTTTTCAGGCTTCAAATGGCTTTCTCTGCTGCCCCCTGGAGGGTTCTAGGATTTTTACTCCATACAAAGTAAAGCCCACCCAAAATGTAAAAAATAAGACTGATAATAGAGTCAAAGGAATGTAGATAATGGATTAATTCATTTTTAACTAACAAAATGACAATAATGTATAATTTGAATATACTCTTATTCAAAGATGAAGACTGTAAGTCACACATTTGAAAGAAAAATCTAATTTAAATGCCTCTTTAACAGGACTTTGGTGGAAAATAATCTTCTGAATTTAAAAACAGGCTCACACCTGTAATCCCAACACTTTGGGAAGCTGAGGCAGGTGGATCACCTGAGGTTGGGAGTTCGAGACCAGCCTGACCAACATGGAGAAACCCTGCCTCTACTAAAAAATACAAAATTAGCCGGGCGTGGTAGCACATGCCTGTAATCTCAGCTACTCTCGAGGCTGAGGCAGGAGAATCGCTTGAACCTGGGAGGCAGAGGTTTTGGTGAGCCGAGATTGTGCCATTGCACTCCAGCCTGGGCAACAAGAGCAAAACTCTGTTTTGCTCAAAAAAAAGAAAAAAAAAAGAAAACATAAACATTGCAATAAAAATGAGTCTCAACTGTTAAAGATTCTATATATTTCTGCTTTGTATGATGGGTAATGCATACTCCCCACAAGGAAATAGGTACCTTGCCTTCTCTTCCTCCTTTTTTTTTTGAGACAGTTTTGTTCTGTCACCCGTGCTGGAGCACAATAGCACAGTGTTGACTCACTGTAACCTCTGCCTCCCAGGTTCTAGTGATTTTCATGCCTCAGCCTCCAGAGTAGCTGGGACTGCAGGTGTCTATCACCACACCTGGCTAGTTTTTGTATTTTTAGTAAAGATGGGGTTTTGCCATGTTGATCAGGCTGGTCTCAAACTCCTGGCCTCAAGTGATTCACCCACCCTGGCCTCCCAAAGTGCTGGAATTACAGGAAGGAGTCACTGTGCCTAGCTAAAATAGGTACCTTGCCTTCTATACCACCATGTAGATCTCTTCCAGAGATGTCTTGGGTTTTAGGAGTAGAACTCCTATTTACATTTTTATGCTGTTCTCTGTTAATTTTTTATATAGAATAGGTAGCACTACTTAGAGCTTGGTTATATACACTTCTATATACTCAGAAGTATAAGTGGTAGAATAGACTATAATAAGTTAAAAGCTATAAAGACATTCATTTTGTTCCCCACAGAGTATTCATTAATTGTACTCTACATGGCTTTGTGTCCAACCCCTAGTGTACCCTATGTATGGTAAGATACTGTAAACACTGTATTACTAGCTCATTAGTAGTATTGAGAAAGTTCAAGACCAAAAAGGGGGGCAGGAGTCAATTAGTTTTTCTTGTTCTTAAAGCCAGAATCATTTATTATGCTACTAAATTTCTGCCTGTGAAAACTCTGATACTTGAGTTAAAAAAAAAAAAGAGAGAAAATATAATTTGCTAGAGAAATTGATGTTCTTCCCAAATTTTACCTTAAGATCACAGATTTTCCTCTCTGTTTGTTTAGGAATAACAGCTAGAAAAGCAGTCTCTTCTTTACTTCCCAAGGAAGGGAACTAGAATAAAACATCAGTAAGTTATCTAGTTAGCTAGAATAGTTTCACAAGTGGTTCATGATTTTGATGGAAAAATAATTGCAAAACTGAAGTTTGCCCTGTAAAAACACACTTGCCATCTCTATCTTCTTTTCTCTACACAAACATACAAATCATCTCTCCCTGGCAAAGGGGTACTCTAGTGGATAAGTAATTTGAAAACGTACCATATTAGAAAACTCTGATTCTAAATTTTTAATTAAATCTTTGAACACTAGAAAAAATTGCCATGTACATAATAAATCTCCTGTCAAACCTAACACTATGTTAATGTAGATCATTTATTTTTAAATTAGTAAGAAATAAAAGGAAGAAAAATGGAAACAATGTAACTGACTATTTGAAAATGGAATCATCTAGCAATCACAAAACACGATATTGATAACAGTAACAACTCATTTTTAGTTAATCAAGCAATATACAAAATAACCATAATTTTTCATAAGATTTGGATAGACACAGAAAATGAATTGAACTACAAAAATAATTGTTTAAATGTTTAACAAATATGGAGAAAAAACACTTTCCTAACAGACCGGAGAGGTAGTCTATTCTTCAAATAATGGCCACTTTCCTTTAATAACACTTATATATAAACACAACTGCCAACCAAGTAGTTCTTAAAAATATTGAATCTATATTTTGAAATTAGAATTTTCTTTTCTTTTTTTTTTTTTTTTTTTTTTTAAGACACAGAGTCTTGCTCTGTCACCCAGGCTGGAGTACAGTGGCGCAATCATTGCTCACTGCAGCCTTGACCTCTGGGCTCAAGTAATCCTCCTACTTCAACCTCCTGAGTAACTGAGACTAAAGGCATGTGCTACCACACCAGCTAATTATTCTTATTTTCAAAATTTTTTTTAGAGATGGAGTCCCACTGTATTGCCCAGGCTGATCTCAAATTCCTCGCCTCAAATGATACTCCTGTCTTGGCCTCCTAAAGTGTTGGAAGTACAGATGTGAGCCACTGTGCCCAGCCAGAATTACAATTTTCTAATATACAGTTTTCAAAATTCTCTGTTGGAATAGTTCTTTTGCAATGTGTAGTTAATTACACTTTCAAAAATGAGGCGGAAGTGGCATTAAAAACATTCTATATTTTGGTGAGAGGTTGTTTCAGAGTGTTGTAGTCAAAAAGAGCCAATATAGGCTGGGTGCAGCCTATAATCCCAGCACTTTGGGAAGCTGAGGTGGGAGGATCGCTTGAGGCCAGGAGTTTGAGACCAGCCTGAACAATACAGTCAGACTCCATCTCTTCAAATAATTATCCAGGCATGGTACTGTACACCTGTGGTTCCAGTTACTTGGGAGGCTGAAGGAGGAGGATGCCTTGAGTGCAGGAGGCCAAGGCTGCAGTGAGCTGTGATTGTGCCACTGCACTCTAGTCTGGGTGACAGAATAAGAACCTGTCTGAAAAAAGAGAAAAAGCCGGGCGCGGTGGCTCAAGCCTGTAATCCCAGCACTTTGGGAGGCCGAGGCGGGTGGATCACGAGGTCAAGAGATCGAGACCATCCTGG